TTGTCAGTTATTCTGCTAAAATGGTTTATAAAAGTTCAGAAACCACGAGATTACCTCATCATATTATTTRTGTTTGAGGATCAGAGTCAGATCCCTGGTTGTCATCAGATTCACACACTTTTACTTTCTGCCTGTGATGGTTCAGCATTAGKAAGGTGACCTTTCGGCTTCTTTTGGTTGAAGCTGGCCAAGCCCAAGTGTTGACCACCAGGCTCGTCCTGCCACTCACCACTTCACACAAAGGATGTCCCACTTTCCCAATTCCAGGTGAGATGCTCCTCTAATGCTAACGTTTCATGGAGGATTTTGAATCGCTCTTAGTCTGACCCATCACCTGAGACCAGTTTGCCATGGGAGACCCTACCAGGGGCTGATGCCCCAGACAACACAGCTCCCAGGATCATCAGGGTACTCAAACCCCTCCACCACGTTAAGGTAGCGATTCTACGGAGAGGTTTACCRAAAGAGAGAAAAAAAAACAAGAAAGGGTAGAAGACAAACGTCGGAGCAAATGAATCCATCAAATCCTGAATTTGTAATGTTTGAATAACTTTAGTTTTTGGTGACTTGTCCTTTAACCAGTCATGTTGTGGGTCTGAAGTCATTCCCATGTTTACTGAATTATGACACGCAATGAGAAATGCTCAGAGGCAGACTGTGTTTAATTGCTTTATCCATTTATGCGTCATAATAAAGTCATCAAATTAATATCGTAAAAGATTTAAATTGGATCATTTTAGCCTGCGGCTCCTCTTTCCTTAATATTTTAAGACCATAATAAACAGATGAAYGGTTCTGACGCTGTATCTTGGGGTCTTTGTAGATTGTAGAATATTCCCACTGAAGGATATTTACAGTGAGAAATTGTTAAATAAAGCATTAAAACCATTTCTGAGGGTAGAAAGAGAAGAGAAGTTCATTAGCTGTTGCCTACCCCAGCACAATGAGCTCTCCATACTTCACTGGCACTTTGGTGGAGGAGGTGGTGGAGATGTTTTCCTGCTCCGGGGAGTACATTGGGCACAGCTGAGGGAAGTAAGGAAGGATGAGTGAGACCCAATGGGGTGAGTCAGGATGGGGCAAGGAGGACAGAGG